ATATATATATATATATATATATATATATATATATATGGTATCATCTGATCTCTCTCTCTCTCTCTTTTTCAGATGAGCAACATGCAAGTCCCCATGCCGGTCAATGGTCCGAATGGATATATGCCGGCTCACAGCCCCTCTACTTCAACAGTATGATGTCAAACTTCCTTACATACTTGAACTCACTTGATAATTTGGATTTTATAACAGTAAAAGCTTTCAAGTCAAGCTTTTCTGAAAGTAGCTTTTAAGTTAACTACCCTTCAAAAAACTATTAGTGTATCATCTTAAAGGGGAGAGAGAAGAAACCTGTTAATGCTTCCACTTTCGGGAAAAAAGGAAAATTTTCTTGTAATAATATTGCTTTTTGGTTTACACTATTGAAGAAAAGGAAAAAGAATTAATTCCTTGCAATAATATTGCTCTTTTGTCTTCTATTGTGTAGTCGATGCCACATGCACCCAGCCAAACTGTTGTTGTTGAGAACCCTATGTCAATGGATGATAGTGGCAAATTGGTAATTTCTTTTTTTGTTTTGTAATTTTCTTCGACTTAATGATTGCAGAGTCTTCCTTTTCTTCTAGTTCGAAATTTTCTTTTCTTCATATTGAAATATTCTCTCTTCCCTCCCCCCCCCCCCCACCCCCAACCCCAACCCCAACCCCAACCCCAACCCCCAAACCAAATATCTATGTGATACAGGTGAGCAATATTGTGGTGGGAGTTACTACAGGAAAGAAATGATTGTCAGATGAATGCCCATGTTCATGTTTAAGTGTAAGCTAAGTGATTTCAACTCTGCCCTTGATGAAACTATGCGGAGTTGTTGAAACTCATGGCCTTTAAAGAATCGTATTGTAGAATTTCACACATTACACAGGGCAGTGTGAGAGCATCTTTATGGCCCGTTTTATCTCCTAATGTAGAAATTGGTGATTCTTGTCTCTTTTCTTTTCACTGGCATATCCTATTGTGTTATTGTAAGTACTTTTCTTTTGTCACTGGCATATCCTATTGTGTTATTGTAAGTAAACAATAAAAATATAATTATCTGGTCTTCAATACTTTTCTTATTTGTGGTAGGTGTATGCATGCATGAGCCTTGTGCTTGCATTGCATGGGCACATACGTATCCTCTGCTTGCATTTTTTTCAACACTAAAACATTTCTTTAACCCTTTCATTCTTTACAAGTAGACCAGAAGGTGTATATAGTGCTATACATTTTATATTAGAAAAATCTTTGGGTCAAGATGCCTAAAGTCTATTGACTATGAAAGCTGAATAGTTGACCTCTCCTTTAGCTGGGCTATCTGCTTCCATATTAGCCTCTCTGCAGCAGTAGGTCACTAGGATTTCTCCTTCCTTGCGAAGGTGTCCCTTAGCTCATTAATAATGTGTTAAATCTCCATGGGATATTAGCTCCTTTACGACACTAATTAACTATATCTTGTGAGTCCAGTTCAACCACTTTATGCTCCTCGGACAATTGTAAGAGTTTGAGCCCCTCGAAGAGAGGTTGGTCCTCACACTCATTTGCAGTAGCAACCCCATGAGGTGCTTACCTTCCTTCACAGTCTCTGATGATCCTCTTACTCCTGACCTTCCATGATTTCCATATGAACTTTTATTAAAATTTAGTTTAATGGTGCTTCTTGGGGATGGGGGGGGGGGGTTTCCATTTTTCAATCTGATGGTTCTCTGGATTCTCATTCTATCTAAACTTGCAGATAAGATCTTTCCACCTTATTCGCTGATACTGTTCTCGAACCGAGTATCATTCAGCCATTATAGCCAAAACGATTGCTAAAATTTGCTGTTTTTCAGTTGTCTCATCTTCATGCTTTTCTGTTTCTCTCCCTCCGAACATTCCACATAATCGGTAGGATCAATGACTTTCATATCATGGTCCTATTTCTGGGGATGGGAGGACTCAGCCGCTCCTGAAAGACTCGAGAGATGGATTAAAGTAGTCCTTGTTTGGTAAGTCAGAAAACAGGAGAACACGACCTGTTTTCTCAGGTACCATGTTTCCCCTGTGAGACCCCCCTCATCCACTTGTCAATTTTCTAACCTCACGATCTCTTTTCCCTCCCAATCTCTTTTTCCCAAGCTCTAGGCTAAGCTTTCTCCGGTTTCCACAAACTAGTTACCAAACAAGGGTTCTCAGCTTCCAGCCACAGTTTTCTACTTCTACATTTTTTTTAGGCTTCCAGTTTTTCAGAGATTCTCTAGGAAATCCGCTTTCTTAGATGCTAAACAGGGCCTTAGGTTATGTCTGATAAACTGGAATGTCCCATCCATTTATCATGTCTCCTGAAAGACTCGAGAGATGGATTAAAGTAGTCCTTGTTTGGTAAGTCAGAAAACAAGAGAAAACGACCTGTTTACCATGTTTTCCCTGGTGAGACCCCCCTCATCCACTTGTCAATTCTCTAACCTCGCTCTCTTTTTCTCAAGCTCTAGCCTGAGCTTTTTCCGGTTTCCACAAACTAGTTGCGAAACAAGGGTTCTCAGCTTCCAAACACAGTTTTCTACTTCTACTTTTTCTTTAGGCTTCTAGTTTCTTAGAGATTCTCTAGGAAAACCGCTTTCTTAGATGCTAAACAGGGCCTTAGGTTAAGTCTGATAAACTGATATGTCCCCATCCATTTATCATGTATATAAGGGCATTGAATGGATAAGTGTTCTCATGTTTCTTTAATGATTTTTACACATTAAGTATATGTTTAATGATTTTTAATGATTCTTTAATGATTTTTACACATTAAGTATATGTTAAGCTGAATCTTACTTTAGGTTGTCAGAGGTTAGCAATTTACCTTGTCCTAGAAGCTAGGGGAAAGCTTGTACCTTGTGAGGTTTTGGAGGACTCCATGTCTTGGGTTGAATACGATCTAGCATCCTATCTTGGAGTTACAAGCCATACAGAGATCTGAGAACTCCCCCAAGGTGGTCATGTCCTAGTCTATGATGATTTTATCTTTTGCGAGTAAAAGTATGTTGGAGCTAATCCATTAGGCGTGTATTTCAACTAGAGAGAGAGAGGGAGAGTGAGAGAAAACTGTATTTTTTGCATTAGAAAATACGAGATGTTATTTCAAAATGAAAATGTATATAATGCGAGTGTTTACTTTTGATACAAGGAGGTCACAATCATTATTGACCATTAGATATGAAATTAGATAGTTGGGGATGTGCCATTGATCTAGCATAAAGTCCAAAATAAAATTTCTCGAATGTTGTGACACACTATGATATATTGGATTTCACATCTAGTGGCTAAAAGTATAGAGTGGCTTTTTTGTATTAAAAGTAAATGATCTCATAGTATACAATCCCTTTCAAAGTAATATAATTTGAAATCATTTTTTGAAAAAGCTTATTTTGTGTTATCGTAGAGACAAGAGTGTAGTAGTAGGTTTTTTGTCCTACATTGAAGTATATAGAAGAGAAAATCATGTTTAATATAATTATGTTTTTTATTGTATTATTAAAACTCCTTTCAAAGTAATGTAATTTGAAATCAGTTTTTGAAAAAGCTTATTTTGTGTTATTATAGAGACTAGAGGGTAGTAGCAGGTTTCTTGTACTACATTGAAGTATGTAGAAGAGAAAATCATGTTTAATATAATTATATTTTTTATTGTATTATTAAAACTAAGGGGAGAGGAGGCCTACGCGGAGCTAATTAAGTGTGCATGTACACGTGTGTTCTCGCTCTGATATGACTTGTTGGAATCAAGATCAATAACTGTATTTGTTACTAAAAAATTCATTGAATAAAAGGAAAATGAGATGTGTGCAAATAGAAAAGGAAAAAGCTGGGATTAGCCCACTAGCTCCTATGAACATATGAGCTCAACAGTCTAGATTTAATCTGGGTCGATCTGACGATCACGGATGTCAGATAGTATTTGAATTTTAATTTTTTTCAACAAATTCAAATCACTTAAAATTTTAGAAGTGTATTTATAAAAAATAGTTGAATCTTCAAAAAATATCAAAAAAATATTTCACATGAAATAAATTGATCAAAATACTTTCGAAAAGTTTTAGGGTATTTTGGTCATTTGATTTTTACAAATAATTTTGTTTATGTATTTTTATTAGGTGTGCTTTGATGATAAGAATATGTGTTTAAAATTTCATTTTGGATTTGTAGAAAAAAAAAAATTAAAATTTATATACTAAATGAGATTATGACCGTTAAATCGGTTCAGATTCAATCTAAGTTATTGGGTTCATATGTTTATATGAACTAGTAAGCTAATCCCAATTTTTTCTAATAAAAATCCAAGATTACAACTCATACCGTATCACAATCCACAACGTATCACAATCTGAGCAACACACTACAAATCACAATCCAAACACGACCATAGGCAGCCGACAAAGATATAATTTCAATATCACGAGAGCATGGCAAAGTTGGGGTAAATATGCGGATTGCCTCCCAATCGATGATGCACCACCGATTCCCTTCTCTGCTACCAATAGAACAGCAATTGAATCAACCTTTACAGAGTAGAATGCCCAAGAAGCCACCTAAAATATTATCCAATAGTGGTTCGGATGTGATCTAGGACTTGACGATTGGACTCAACCAAGGTCCGGGAATCGTTCCAAATATTGGACCCGACAGTTGGGTCCGGGTCAAAATCTTGGACCCAAATACTATTCGAGTTTGGGTCGGAGTCTATGTAGACCCGATCTCAACCCGAATAGTGTTAATATTTACATAATATTTCATATTTAATATTTAGATAATATTTTATAGTTATATTTTTAGTTATAATATTTAAATAATATATATATTTCATGTAATATATATATATATATATATATATATATATTTCTGGTGTAGGTCACTAGTCTACAACTACATATGACTAAATAGACCTAGATTCAATCTGGATCGATCTGACGGATATGACTTAATATCATATTTGTATTATTTTTATTAGTATTACTTCCAATTTTTAAATAACACACTTAACCTTAAAATTTACTA